TTTACCTTTCTTCGGTTCTGTTCAGCAATGAGCACTGACTGTATGGAGGATTCACTCAGGCTACCCTTACAGGTATCTGTGTTCGTCGGTTACTGTAAATTTCATATGTATCGCTCCCGTGCATCTCGTTCCTATTTTGCATCGCAGCGGACCACATGCGATAGTTACCACCTCCATTTATGTCTTTCACATTCCCTCGCCAGTTTAACTCCAACACACCCCATCCTTCACACTTTCTTGGGTTGTCTTATGACGACAAGCGCGTGCACGTACCAGACAACTTGAACTAATGCCATAGAGTTTAGCTGTCACTTGCAGTGGGTCTGAGCTACTATTTCCAACTTTCCAAGGTGTTGGTCGGATCGTTGTCTGATGTGTCCCTCACATCACTACATAATAGTAATTTGACGATGCCGTGACAGCACCCACTGCATGGCAAATTTTGAGAGGGTGAGCTTTCCGAGGAAGGATCACCATTTACTTATTAGCTTTTATTGGTTAATCACGTTTACCGACCCGTTGCTGCAAGAATACCCTTCCGTCAGACTGGTTTTTGCTTTGTAACCTTTTTTCCCGTCAAATCTGTGATCAGGCGACATCGAGACAGACACAAACTACACAATGCGGTTTCGGTATTACCGAGAGAAATGCAGAATCCATGCTGTCCCGATAGCTTGCACGAATTCCACTCTGCAGACTGTAAATATCTTTGCCGGCATATCACAACGCCAAGGGTGAATGAACCCTTTCGGGAGAGTATTGTAGGTGGGGAGGCGAATCGGCTTCGAATCACGGCGCATATGGAGCACTTATACTTCCCGAGTGATACCGTTTATACTCCCATATTGTTAGCTACTACCACGGAGATTCCGCCTGTAAAAAAAGCAAACGCTTGCGGTCGATCGTTTAGATTGTGCTGTGAGATGTCGGCCCCTTCATTTGGCGGGGCAAGTGATCTTCGAAGACATTGTTCCTGGAACAAAAATGCTGGTTGTGTCATGGACTTTTGAAAACCAAGCTGCCGAGTATGACCCGATGTGTATGTTGATCAGTTCCTAGCTGAAGGTATACTTCCTCCGAGATGCATTCCATGGTAGTTCGGTCAGCGACGTTTGACCGTATTGCCTGGCACATTTTAAAACTCTTCGCTCGTTTGTTTTAAATGAACTAGGGGCATACCGTGAAACGAGACTGAGATTAAACTCGGCCCAGAAATCGCTGCTGCTGGTAATCGTCGTGGCACGAAATCGGAACTTAATGTGTAAACTACTAGATAGGGAGTTCCTACCGTTGCGCTGGCAGCTGAAAAGCAATTCGGAGCAACGGAACGACCATCCACTTAAGCATTCCCCCTGCCAGCTACTGCAACTTTTCACATATCTACCTACGTATTTCACCTTATTATTGGAATGATTGTACGTGGCTTAACAGGACCACTTTCAGGTTGAATGAGGAGTTTCACCCTTGGACAGAGAGGTACCGGATCTTGCTTAATCTTAAAGGCTGTAGTATTTCAAATTACGCGATAAAGTTGGAGATTTATTTGAAGTACATTGTATATTACAGTTGCTCTCTGTGGATACAATACATTACATACAAACGTCACATACGTCAACCTTAATCGATGGGATGAACTGTACCTTTAACCCGAGAAATTGATGCTGGAGTAATTTCGTATGTCCCTCCTCGCTTTAAACACCCTTGTCCTCCCCACTCCAGGATGTTTTTTTAATACTGCTTGTCTAACCTCATTCTTCCAACTAATTGTTTTCCCTAAATTTGTTTCTACTCTATAATCTCCACTCTTTCTTCAAGTTTCTGTGCATAATTCTTTTGTCTCCTCTGCGTTGGCCGTCCCATAATTACCCCGCGTTTTGTGTTGTCTACCACTGTATTTTAAGAGTCCTCAGCCGACTATCTCGATATATCTTGACATACATATTCTACGACGATTTCCAAAGAGGGTTCGCTGCGATGTCTGATGGACCGGTTATACCCCCCAAAGGGCCAGTGGTATTTGTTCCCTCAGTTGAACCCCATACCTAAGGCTATCGATCCTCGGTTGTTAGGTTCACAGCTAATCACTACGTGATGCCGCAGGTCATCGAAGCCCACGAAGTCGACACTTTCCATGTCCCGCAAGCCTTTCTGGACAAGCATCCCACCAGAACTCACCTAAAGGATCTTGACGAGTACAAGAAACTCTACGAAGAATCGATCCGGGATCCAGATACCTTTTGGTCAAGGCTGGCCCGCGAGCTCCTGACGTGGGAGCGTGATTTTGACACTGCCCGTTATGGAACTTTTGAAATGGGAAATGTTGCCTGGTTTCTCGGTGGGCGTTTGAATGCTTCGTATAATTGTGTTGATCGTCATGCGATCAAGGACCCAAATAAGTTGGCGCTCATTTATGAGGCGGATGATCCCGGCGAAGGCCGCAACATTACATACGGGGAGCTTCTGAAGGAGGTTTCGCGGTTAGCTTGGGTATTGAAGCAGGCTGGCGTTAAGAAGGGGGACACTGTTGCAATCTACCTGCCCATGATTCCAGAGGCTGTTATTGCGTTCCTGGCGTGTGTTCGCATTGGTGCGGTTCACTCAGTCGTTTTCGCTGGATTCTCCTCTGATTCGCTCCGGGACCGCGTTTTGGACGCGCGCTCCAGGGTCGTTATTACCACGGATGAGGGCAAGCGCGGTGGGAAGCTCATTGGGACGAAGAAGATCGTGGATGAGGCCCTTAAGCAATGCCCTGACGTGAATCACTGCATAGTGTACAAGAGAACGGGTGCCGATGTGCCCTGGACTAAGGGTCGGGACATGTGGTGGCATGAGGAGGTCGAGAAGTATCCTAACTACATAGTTCCGGAGCCGATGGATTCAGAGGACCCTCTTTTCCTTCTGTACACGTCAGGGTCAACTGGAAAACCAAAGGGCCTGATGCACACGACTGGCGGCTATTTGGTTGGCGCAGCTGCAACTGGCAAATATGTATTTGACATCCATCCCACCGACCGCTTCTTCTGTGGTGGGGATGTAGGCTGGATTACAGGACACACCTATGTCGTCTATGCTCCTCTGCTTCTCGGATGCGCAAGTGTGATTTTCGAGAGTACTCCAGCATATCCCAACTTCTCCCGGTACTGGGATGTTATTCAGAAGCATAAAGTGACCCAGTTCTACGTTGCCCCAACGGCGCTGAGGCTCTTGAAACGCGCTGGAAATCAATACATCCACCACAAACTTGAGACTCTTCGTATCTTGGGATCCGTCGGTGAACCAATTGCCGCAGAGGTGTGGAAGTGGTATTTCGAGGTTGTTGGAAAGGAAGAATGCCATCTTGTCGACGTAAGATTTTCAACCCGTTCGTTCTTAAAACCAATTGTTCTAACATTGAAACACAGACATACTGGCAAACCGAGACTGGCTCTCATGTTATTACTCCACTGGGTGGCATCACGCCAACCAAACCTGGCAGTGCCTCCCTTCCCTTCTTTGGCATTGAGCCCGCCATTATTGATCCGACGTCAGGAGAGGAAATCAAAGGTAATGATGTTGAAGGTGTTTTGGCCATTAAGCATCCATGGCCCAGCATGGCCCGCACGGTATGGGGTGCTCACAAGAGATATATGGACACCTATTTCAATGTTTATAAGGGATTTTATGTAAGTCACAACAACGGAACGCTTTCTCTCTTGTAACCCCCACAATCTTCACGCTGATAATTTTGTTAGTTCACTGGTGATGGTGCTGGTCGAGATATAGACGGATACTATTGGATTCGGGGCCGTGTCGATGATGTTGTCAACGTTTCTGGCCATCGTCTATCAACAGCAGAAATTGAAGCTGCTCTCATTGAACATCGTGAGTCCCATTATCCAAAACTTGGTAGCCATGCTTCATGTTTTCTTACTAATAAACATTTAAATAGATGCTGTTGCTGAGGCTGCTGTCGTTGGTATTGCCGATGAACTCACCGGACAGGCTGTTAATGCATTTGTTTCGCTGAAAAATGGGGACGACGGCGAATCACTCCGCAAAGATCTCGTTTTGCAAGTTCGCAAGTCAATTGGTCCATTTGCTGCACCCAAGGCTGTGTTCGTTGTCGAAGACCTGCCCAAGACTCGAAGCGGTAAGATTATGCGACGAATTTTGAGAAAGATTCTCAGCGGAGAGGAGGACAGCCTGGGTGATATCTCAACTGTAAGTTCATTCTGCCTGGTGGGAGAGCATGGTGCAGGGTGTTTCTGTATCGAGAGCAATAGCTAACTCTTCTGCGATTCCACAGCTATCTGATCCAAGCGTCGTTGCCAAGATCATTGACATCTACCAAGCGACAAAGAGCAAGTGAATGTTTTCAACAACGAGAAAGATATACCCGGAGCACGATGGGGTTAAAATTATGGGAGAGCAAGATCCGGATTCTTCGAAACTGGCAAAGGTTTATAGAAGTCAAAGGAAAGCCAAAAGGCCATGAATATAACACTTGCATTCTAGTACAATAATATACCTCCCCTACTCTGTTTTAACCTCGTTTGCTTTTGAAGCCATGGTTAAGTTTTTGATTTTTTAACAACTCCCGTTTGAGTCGGTGTTACCTGAAGCTCAAAAATGGTCTCTATTTTCCTGTTAGCGACTTTGAAGATGAAATGTATGGTTACAATACCCTTGTGCTGGCTTGCTGCCTGAGTAGTGTTAGTATTAAGTTGTCATGATAATTTGAAATCTTTTTGTCAAGGCCACTTTTCCTTCGATATCCCCACACCTGCATCTGATAAATAATGACGAAGTAACATTGGACCGATGCTGCCTACCCAGTACCTAGGTAGGGACGAGCCCGGTATGTTCATGTCAAAGGATATGTTAGATTCGAGACAACAGCCGGAATCGAAAGATACGCTGGCCTCGAGAAAAATGGGATTATTAGATTAAATGTTAGAATGTCGAGTTAGATTGCCAGATGTTAAAAAAATTACCCGGATAGGGCTTTTATTTGTTAATAGATGTCACCAGACCCTACAGTCCGTTATATATATATACATATACTCCTGCCCAATTGGACTGACTGACTGTCATGTCAAGGCTCCCGCCAAGCAGACTTGGCTGCATGCTCGCCAACGCATATCGAAGTCACATGATTCGTCCGCAAAGAGACAGTTAAGCGAGGCTCCTTCATTGAGCCGCCTCCCTCGTCTTGTCTTCGCGTGTTTCTCGCTGGGGGCCGACTTTCATCTTCACCCACCTCGCCTCACCTCACCTCGCTTCACTTCAACCTCAACACCAACCACCCCTATTCCCGGCGGTGGTGAAGCATCCCAGCCCCTTAATTTCTAGACTGATTGCCTCTGTGGCCGCACTTGTGTTCTTTTTTCTTGTTTCTTGCTTTTTCTTGCAACTCTTGAAACCGGAGCAACTTTTCATATACCCGCACTCGAACCGTAGGATTAATTGCATCGTCCTTTCATATCCTTCTCGATTCCTCCTCCAAGTTCGTGAATATATCCGCGTATAACTCAGCATAATTTCTAGGACGATTTTATTATACCCCTTTGTCGATCATCCCACGTTCCTCTCTGGTTGTTTATGGATCGCCACTGTTGACGCGACAGACTTAATATCAATCCCCAGAACGAGGTTAGTAGCAGGGAGAGACTGATAAAGGAAAGTGTATTATCATGTCTTTCAATACTGGCACGTTTGGGGGCTTTGGCTCTGGGAATCAGCAGCAGCAAGGAACTGGTTTTGGAGCCGGCACGTCATTCGGTGGCTCTTCAACTGGAACTGGTAGGTTCTCTCTCTCCTCCTCCTCCTCCTCCCTTATTGCCCATGAGTTTCTATCTCTTTTGCGATTGCGTTATGTCGGGTATGAAAAATTAAAAAAAAAAAAAAAAAAAAAAAATTCTGTGGCAAAATCCATTGGGGCGAACGTCTACTCGTCTTGTTCTTCCTCTTTGCTCTCTCTCTCGACACATATAGCGAGGAACCCAGAGGGCAATAGAGTGCCTTAGAAAACAAGGCAACGTTCATGTCTTATCTGACGCAATTTCACCCATGTACAGGCTTTGGATCGGGAACGACTCTCTTCGGCAGCGGTACAACAAACACGGGCAGTGGCTTTGGAAATACTTCCAGTGGCTTTAACTCAGGAGGTACGTCGCTAACGTCTCCTACATCCTTGAAGTATATTGGTGTTCTTGGGATCTATCTCTTAAAACGAGTCTTCTTGGTCTCTCCAGTCTATGTTGGGAATGGTTGTAGTGACTCAATTTGGTTATGTTGCTTTTTCATACGCCATCCGTGGCCAACAAAACCATTCAACTTGATCAAAGATTGTCTTCGAAATCTGGCGCAATCCTGGCTTAGACTCTCTCATCTTATTGAGGATGCCGGTTGGCACATGATCTTGCTCACAGATTGCTTTAATGTTTTAGTTCAGAATTTCTATATTTCTTGGCATTTGGGGGTTTGCCCTCGTTAATTCCAATCAAATAAACCCGCGAACTAATTTTCATACTCTTCTAGGTTTTGGCGCCAACACTTCACAAACAAATCCCATGTTTGGAACGCAAAATAAGGGATTTGGAGCCACACCTGCCACCACGGGCAACAGTCTTTTCGGATCTTCCACTACACCAGGTGCCACCTTTGGTGCTTCTGGATTTGGAGCGGGAGCTGGAACGTCAGGATTTGGCGGTTCTGGTACCGCCACCACGGGCACCGGGCTTTTTGGCAGTGGCCAGCAGCAACAACAACCACAATCCGGGTTCGGAGCTTCTGGTCAGGGAGGTTCTCTCTTCGGTGGGAATACAGCTGGAGCAAGCGCTTTCGGAACTTCCACTGGCTCTGCATTTAACGCAAATGGTACTGCTTTAGGGGGCGCTCTCCCTCCACCGGAGGGAACAGCAAACCCTCCATATGCCCCTTTTACAGAAAAAGATCAGGGTTCCAATGTTACCAATCATTATCAAACTATAAGTGCAATGACACCATATTCCAAATACTCGTTTGAGGTACACTAATCTCTATCTCTCTCTCTCTCTCTCTTTTTTTTTTTTTTTTTTTTTTTTTTTTTTTTTTTTGGTTCTAATTTTTTATTTCTTACATTTCGGGCTGCTAACGTGATGATAGGAACTTCGAGTGGCTGATTATCAACATGGACGGAGGTATGGCAACGCCAGCGGTCAGCCGGGCGCATTTGGAGCCTCTGCTTTCGGGGGATTCGGGCAACAGCAAACAGCCACAGGAGGCTTTGGCACCTCATCCACAACCAGTCCCTTTGGGGCTGCCACTTCTGCTCCCTCTGGATTTGGACAGACTCCGGCATCTAGTTTTGGCTCTGGCACTTCATCCAATCCACTATTTGGTGCTTCCAAACCAACCGGTACATTATTTGGCGCAAGCACAACGTCACAACCGACTTCTGGATTTGGTACCACCGCAACGGCTGGAGGTTTCGGCACTAATACAGGAAACACATTTGGTGGCTCGTCGCTCTTTGGAGGCGGCAACCAACAGAACAAGCCGTCTTTTGGTTCTACAGGAAGTACATTTGGAGGATTTGGACAGCAAAATACGACAACTACGGCTTCTCCATTTGGCAGTACTACGGCTTCTGCCCCTGCGTTTGGGCAGCAGCAGCAGCAGCAGCAGGGACAGACAACTGGTACTGGGTTTGGATTCGGACAGAATAATGCCCAAAATCCAAACAAACCTTTGTTTGGTGGGTTCGGAGGTACTGGCACCCAACAGCAACCCGCTTCAAACCTATTCGGTAGCGGAACCACCACTACCCCTAGTTTGTTTGGGGGTCAGAATAACCAACAGTCACAACAAAGTACACCGTCCCTTTTTGGCAATAATGCGAATCAGCAAACCGGCACCTCAAGTCTATTTGGAGGCGGCAATCAGCAGCCGCAACAGGAACAAAAACCTGGCTTATTTGGCAACCTGGGGACCAGTCAGCCTGCCACTGGATCCACCGCATTTGGGGGTTTCGGTTCCAATCAAACTACACAACAGCAACCCACTGCCAACCTCTTCGGAAATCAACCCCAGCAACAACAGAAACCAGGCCTCTTCGGAAACACAGCGACGCAGCAGACTCCTTTTGGACAGACTAACACTGCTGTAGGAGGTGGCAGCAGTTTGTTTAGCCTCAGTGGAATGGGCCAGACTCAGCAGCAGCAACAACCTGCTGGAGGCCTTGGGAATAGTTTCCTGAGCCAATCCCAGCAGCCTCAACAACAGCAGCAACCCACTGGTCTGCAGGCTTCACTTCTCGATGGAAATCCGTATGGCAGCCAGTCAATTTTCTCTGGGTTGCCTCCTCCCAATGCCCCGTCTCCAGGACCACTGGCTACCCCATTGTCTGCTACCATTCGCCAAAAACAGCGTACGCCTCTGCCGGTATACAAAATCTCCCCCAATGCAGCCAACCGGCTTATTACCCCACCAACTCGTCAAGGTTATGGATTTTCCTATTCAACATATGGTACACCATCAAGCAGCGCTAGCACTCCAAACGGACTAAGCGGCAGTCTACTCAGTGGCAGCTTTGGTCGGAGTTTCAGCAAGAGCATGTCATCTAGCAATCTCCGTAAAACTTTCGACGCTGAAACAGATAGCATCCTTTCGCCTGGAGCATTTTCCGCTGGAAACTCGCGATATTCGAGCTCAAGTCTTAAGCGACTTACGATTGATCGTAGTCTTCGAACTGATCTATTCTCTCGTTCCATCCAGTCACAGGCCCTCACAAACGGTGATGACTCCCAAGGATCAAGCAAGCTCAAAAAGAAAGTTAGCTTCGATTCGCAAACTGCTGGTGGAGACTCTGGCACTGAGACTGATGGTACTGTTGCCCGCGTTGAGACTCTGAGCCCTGAACCAACTGCTGAAGAATTGGGTTTCTTGCGCTCATCTCGAAAGCACAACGCTGAAGTCAATGGAACAAATGGTGCTGCCAAGGAAGTCAACGGCGTTAACGGAGTTGCAGGTGGTGCAGATGAGATGGAACAGGTTCGAGGCAACGAACTTGCTGTTGTGCCGGAAGGATTTGAGCACGGCGGAGCCATTGTGTCACCTTCTGGTGAAATCCTCGCCAATGTTCCTCAAGGGGACCCTAAGCCAGGAGAATATTGGATGAAGCCTTCTCGCTCTGAACTCAGCAAGCTGCCCCGTGAACAACAGAAGCACTTTGTTGGCTTGACTGTTGGACGTGCTGGTTGTGGTTCTGTTACGTTTGATGAGCCTGTGGATCTTACTACAGTAGATATCGATTCCCTGTTTGATAAGATTATCAAAATCGGCACACGATCCATCACAGTTTATCCTGACGACGTTGCTAAGCCCCCTCGAGGCAAAGGCCTAAACGTCCCATCGACCCTGCGAATCGAGAACTCCTGGCCTAGAGGTAGGGATAAGAAATCGCCGTCGCCCATGACAAGCGGTCCAGCCTTCGAGAGACACGTTGAGCGATTGCGAAGAGTAACCAACACGGAGTTTGTCATCTACGAGAAACTTACCGGAACTTGGGTCTTCAGAGTGCCTCATTTCACAACATATGGCCTTGAATATGATGACGATGAAGAAGGTGAGAACTTTGATCAAAGCAGTTTGAGTGCACCTTCCGTTGATACTCCTACTCCAAAGGCTCGAACTCCAACACAGTCGTCCTTCTCCCATTCTGAGATGAATTCCACCATCTCAATCGACGAGTCGTACATGGATGATTCCACGGCGGGAATGGAGGATGATACTTTTGAGTTCAAGAAACGCAAGCTTGTTCCGGGCGCGTTTGTGGGTCAGGCTGCAAACGATGGAAAGATGGGAGAAGTGGATGATATGGAGACCGACGATGAACAGGAGTCTTTTTTAGAGGAGCGCTCCACGGATTCCCGTTCTGAAAGCGGGAGCCTGGAGCAAACAAACAGTCAAGACATTACTGAATCAGAAGGTGAATCACTATGTGAATTAGGAAAGGACGAAGAAATGGATGTAACAATGGTCGGGACCTTTCCCGTTCAGGATTCTGCAGTGGAGCAAATGACAAAGGTCAATTCCCCGAAACCTATTATTCAGCTATCAGCTCAACATCGTGGCACTCCTCCCAAAACACACCTGGACTTTGGTGGGAATTGGGCAGAGCAGTTGCAACGAACCATCAGCCCAAGAAAACAGGATCGTCAGGCACTTCGCGAGATTCAGGGAACTGTGTTTGCTGACAAAAATGAGAATGATATCTCGACAAACTCCGCCAAACCAGCTAAAGAGGTTAGCTTCGCGACGAGTATAGATCTTATGAATTCACTATTTCCACGAGGGACTATTGGAGGACA